AAAAAAAAAGGGCCCGGGGGGGGGGGGGGAGGCTATGCTGCAAGCCACTGTGAGATCCCACTGTGCAGAAAAGCGAGATATAAATGCACAAATAAACCCAAGCAACCACAATTTCATCCATAGGGAAGGGTCAGGCCCGCCCCGCCGCCGAGGCTCCCCTCCCTCCCTCCCTCCCCGCACTCACTTGCCCTCCTGGCAGTCGTAGAGCACGATGGAGTCATCGTCGCTGCTGGAGATGAGCGTCTCGCCGTTGGGACTGAAGTCGAAGCAGTTGATCTTGTCCGAGTTCTCGCGGAAGACCTTGGCCACGCGGAAACTCCGCAGCACGTTGTCCGTCAGCTTCATGCTGCCCGCCAGGGGAGAAGGGAACCGGCCAGGCCTGCGCCACCAACAAGGGTGAAGGAAAGCACCGAGGAAGTGGAGTCCGCAGCCGCTGAAAGGAGAAAGGGTGGCGACAATGAGCGAACGAGCCGTCCACTTGTGCCCTCAAGCGGGCTCGGCTCAAGCCACTAAGAGGCAGCTCCCGTTCATTGTGTCCGCCATCTTGCTGCTCCAGGGGCGCCGGAGGGAGGGAGGGAGGGCCCGCCGGCGGAAGTGGGGGGGAGGAAAGGAAATGGGGGGGGGGGGGGGAGAGGCAGGGAAAGGTCCGGAGGCGACCAAAACGGTGCAGTGCATGACGGGATAGGACTAAGGCGGGTCAAACGGTAAATGACAGAATGGAGAGCAATGATTTGTGGGCTATAACGCGGCTCCGGGAAACGAGGGCGGACTAAGAGTGCTGTAGGAACGGAAATTGCACGGACATTGCCACCAACCCCTATATTGGGTGGTGACATTGTCCGGGGGCTCGCCAAGCGGTGGCGCTTTTTCGCGTCATAGAGCTGCAGAGCGGGAACATTTCTCAGCCCACAGACTTCCCAATCCATGCTTAGCGTGGAACTCTGTCCTTTCGCTCCCTTCCTCTCCCCCGCTGGTGCAATTTCGAACCCCTCCCCAGTGTCTCGCGACTTGTGAAAGGTGATTTCCCCCAGTGCATTCGGGGGATGCTTCATCATTATGGCGTGAATTGCAGATGGGATCGGAATGGTTTAGGAGTCCGCCCTGCTGAATTCCTCAGCGTCATTTATTGTTTGAGTGAAAAGGAACAGAGCTGCACCGGGGGGATTCCCTCTGCTAGGAAATGCTCTTGTACGCGGGGAGGAAAAGGAACTTGTATGCTTAAGAGAGAGCCTTTGGTTATTAGGGCTGTGGCTTTTTATAAAAAAACCCCGTAGGCATTACAAAACCGCAGTTGCTGCTAGAAGCTCCTTTTAGCAGGCAGCACCCCAATTTCCCCAGCCTCCAGATGGCTGTAGGTGGTGATTCTGTGTGATCAGAGGGAACATTGACTATAAGGTCTTTCTTTAGGGTGAAGACCCTGTGGTGTTCTCTCGCCGCATTCCGCACAGGAAGCTTTAAGCTGAGAAAGCGAAGGGAGCCTGGGAACTGCTCAGAAGTGAGAGAGACAGGGAGGACGGGACGGGGGTGTTTAGTTGGCAGCTTTCAGGTAACCAGATTTGTAGATGACATCGAATTACTGAGGTCTGTGAAAACCAAAGCAGTCTGTGAAGAGCACCAAGAGTATCTCCAAACCGGGAGAATAAGCAACAACACAGCAAATAATGTTGAGTGTACGTTAAGTGTAAAGTGACACACTCTTGGGCAAAACCCAATTATATTTTTTTACTGCATGGATCTGACCTGGCAGCAGCTGATCAGGAAGGAGATGATCGGGTTGTGGTGGGTAGCTCAATGAAAATGTTTGCTGGGAGCATAGCCACAGGGAAAATGGTGACTTCTGTGCAAAAGATTATTAGAATATAGGCTAAAACAGAAAAAACATGTAAATAGGCTGTGGGCCTGGTAGAACAGCTCCATCTTGCAGGCCCAGTGGAACTGTAGTAGATCCTGCAGGGCCCTCATCTCAAATGGAACCTCATTCCACCAGGTGGAATTTTGAACGTTTTAGTGTCCAGGTAGTCTTCAAGGATAGCCCCATGTTGAGTCTTAAGTCTAGATGATGGTAAATTAACTGGGGAGCCAAACAGAGATGAAAAAACATGCTTTTAGCCACAGTACTAACTTGCTTTTCCAGCAGAAGGGAAAGCTCTATTAAGATTCCCAAGCTCTTTGAAAGACAGATTTACCACATCTTCAGTCCCATCCAGGACATCAGTATTATCAGCCAGCACCAGCTCTGTCTTGTTTGGGTTTACTTTCTGCTTCTCCCTCAGCCCTTCGACTGTGGCAACTAGACAATGGCCTAGAACAGAGACAGTAGCATCTGGAGGCTTATTTAAAGAAAATTGTAACTGGGTGTTACCAGCATATTGATGAAGACCAGTTCTAAAGCTGTGGCCTATAACTGGTCAGAACCTATTTTTTGAGAGAAGGTTTCTTTAGTAACAGATGGATTACAGCCTCCTTCAGAGGCTTAGGGGTAGTATTTAGGGGAACTGCTTCAATCTTAAAAGCTAAGCAGGTTCATAATGAAGCAGTCAATCCTTCAGCTGTCCCAGGCGGTTTAGGGATTTATAGATGAAAACAAACAGTTTGAATTGTTCCCTGAAGCCAGCTGGTAGTCTGTGAAGCTCTTGAAGTATGCAAAAGATAAGTTCCTTCCTGTCTACACCAGTCAAAAATTTTGCAGCTGTATTTAATCACAGAGAGTTTAGTAAAATGTGGAATTTGCTGCCAGAGGATGTAGTGATAGTCACAGGAGTAAACAGCTTTAAATGGGGGATTAGATAGATTCAGGGAGGATAGGTCTATCAGTGGCTACTAGCCATGGTGACTGAGGGGAACCTTCACATTCAGAGGCACTAAACTTCTGAATCCCAGAACCAGGAGGCAAGATCAGTGGAAGGTCTCAGCCCTGTTGTTGGCTTTCCAGAAGAACTGGTTAGCCACTGCAAGAGACAGGATGCTGGACTCAATGAACCACTGATCTGATCCAACAAGGCTCTTCTTATTATGAACCAACTGGAAATGTCCAAATAGTCTTCACGGACAACTCCATAAATGACTTGCTGCAATGATCTAAACTAGGCACTGATGGTATGAGTGACTGTGGCCAAATAATAAGTTTCATAAGAACATAAAAGAAGCCAATGTTAGATCAAGCCAATGGCCCATCCTGTCCAACACTCTGTCACACAGTGGCTAAAAATACGGTGCCATCAGGAGGTCCATCAGTGGGGCCAGGACACTAGAAGCCCTCCCACTGTTGCTCCCCCCCCCCAGCACCAAGAATACACTGCATCACTTGCCCCAGACTGAGAGCTCCTATGTATACCTTGTGGCTAACAGCCACTGAAGGTTCCATATGTTTATCTAATTCCCTCTTGAAGCTGTCCATGCTTGTAGCTGCTGCCACTTCCTGTGGCAGTGAATTCCATGTGTTAATCACTCTTTGGGTGAAGAAGTACTTTCTTTTATCTGTTCTAACCCGATTGCTCAGCAATTTAGTTTTGAAAGGACCACTGCTGGTGTACCAACTGTCTGTGTATTTGCCCTGCCTCTGGTTGCAACCTGCCTCACCGTTGAATGCAGGGGGCACAGATAGCAGAGCTTGTGAGGCAGATTTCAACTTGTGGGCCGGACAGTATGTGAGGAGATGTTCCTTCAGGTGCCGTGGCCCCAAGCCATTTAGAGCTTTAAATATAAGAGCCAGCACATTGAATTGTGCCTGGAAACAAACTGGCAACCAGTGCAGATTTTTCAGCACAGGGGTGATAAGATTTTTTAATCCTGCCCCTGACAATAGCCTGTCCACTGCATTTGGGACAAACTAAAGTTTCTGCAAGGTTTTCAAAGGCAGACCCATATAAAGTTCCTTAAAATAATCTAACCTGGAAGTGATCAGTGGCCAGATCATGCTTATCGGGGAACAGCCTTGCATCAGAAGCTAAGTATTCATAGAAAAAATAATTTAGTATCATACATCAAATACCAGTGGTGGCCCTGCTGTGCTGATTGAAACTCTACAGGGGGTAGTGGTGTACCAGGGCAGGGTAACCCCCAGATTTAATCAAAAGTATAAGTTAACAAAGAAGGCAGTTATCCTAGCCCCTCCCCTCCAGTAGTCAGTGACGTGTTGCTCCGACTCTAGGGTTGCGGTGCTCATCTCCATTTCAAAGCCGAAGAGCCAGCGCTGTCCGAAGATGTTTCCGTGGTCATGTGGCCGGCATGACCAGGGCTCTAGTGGGGGGGGGGCTCTCAGGTACGGAGCTCCGGAAGAGAACCTCTAGGGGGCGGGGCGGTCACGTGGTGAAGCCCCGCCCCCTTCTTTACCCCGCCCTCTGCTTCGATCCTCATTCCGTTTGGGAATGAGGATGAAGCAGGAGGGTAAGTAGCCGGGCCTTCTGACACACTTCCGGTGATGTCAGGGGGTGTGGCCTTCTGTCACTTCCGGTGATGTCAGGGGGCGTGGCATATGCAAATAAGTTATTCTAATGAGTTATGCTAATGAGCTCCGGCAGCTCTTTTTTTACAACAAGACCCCTGAGTGACGTGTTGCACAGGAGTCACAGAAAAACCTGGCTGATATTTTCAGTTTCCCAGCAAGCCAAGGTGCCAAGTGTAAAAAAGCTTTTTTTTAAAAAAAAAGTAGGGATAGGCCAGGGGAAAATACAATGAGTGGGGCAGGGGGGAACCAGACAGTTGGGCAGGCTGGGGGAGAAAGTTAAAAAGGAAACAGAAACCAATCAAGACGAGAGGAAGCAGAACCTGGGGACTGGAGGGATTTCCCCTTCCCCTCCACAGGTGTTCTCAGGTTTCCCTTGCCTTTCATTACTGCGCATAATGCCAGGAAAGGGCATTAAGCTTTCCACACCATAGAGCTTGTAGTCTAAACTTTGAGACAAAGGAAACAACAAAAGAGACAGGAATACACAGAGCAGACCTGGCAGGAGGCAGTCACATTTGTTCCTCATTTGTGTATCCCAGTAATGCATAGTGTGGGGTGGCGGTTAATTTTTCCATGAAGTGGGGGTACTTGCATGAAGGGAGCTGAGCATTTTACTCGCTTCTGCTTTGCTTGCAGGTATTTTTCTTTTCACCCAGTTCCAATACTAGAAGGGAGCCTGGCGGCAGATGAAAGTGCTTGAAGAAGCAGAATACTCTGAGGTAACATGGGGCGGAGTTAAGATCCCCTCTAATGCACACCATTTCCATGTAAAAATTAGACAGGCTTTCCATGGTTTAAGTGTTCTAAAGCCTAATTTGCTCTGAATCCCAGGTGGCCACAGGTATACCTGTTGCAGAGAAACTTCTTTTTGCATATTCGGGGGGGGGGTGTATTTCACTAATTTTAGAGCCATGCTTACTCTACTGACCAGACACTTGTAACATAGTGACAAATTCCTAAGAAGAAGCTCAGCAGCACTTCAGCAAATGTTTAGTTCATTTTTTAGGTGCCAGAGTATGGCTGTTGATTTTGTAGAAATTGTCCGGGGCCTAGGTCCAGCCACACAGTCCCAGGTACCCTAAGGGTACTAACATTTTTTGAAGAGGATGTTGCG